TATATATATATATATATATATATATATATATATATATATATATATATATATATATATACGTGTATATGTATATATATGTACACACACACACACACATATACATATATATACAACATATATGTATATATATATATATATATTATATATATATATATATATATTATATATATATATATATATATATATATATATTATATATATATAATATATATATATATATATATAGTATATATATATATATATATATATAATATATATATATATATCATCATCAAGGAGCTAACACCGACGGGGGAGCATAACCGCATCACCTACAAGGATCCCTCATGCCAAGACGCCAGGCAGGGACTCAGCCCATCTCGATTTCTTTACGACAGATTTGGTCGATCTGCCCAAGACACGACTTCCTAGGTCGTCCCACAGGCCTCCTCCACCCAGGGTTGTCTCGAACAGAGACGACCTGATGGGCAGGATCATCCTGAGGAAAGCGAGCCAGGTAGCCATATATCTAGAGTTGGCTATTACAGAATGTGCAGGTAACAGGTCCTGTGCCAGTTTCACAGTGCAACCGTTGGTTGGACACATTGTGTGGGGAGGATCTATTACAAAAGGCTTCAAAACGAGCCTCCAAGGCACAGGATAATGTCCAGGTTTTGCTACCGTATAGCAAAACTGGCATTATCAGAGCCTTGAAAACCTGTATCTTGGTCCTTCTGCTCAGGTACCGATACCTCCAAATACACTTGTTGAGAGAGTTCATGACCCCTGCTGCCAGGCCAATCTGTCTGCTGACTTCCTGGTCAGACAGCCCAGAGTTATGAACTACACTACCAAGGTATGTAAAGCTCTCTGTGACTTTAATGTCCTCGCCGCAAGCATGTAACGACTGAACAAGTCCTCCTAACATGTCCCCAAAGTCCTGGACCTTGGTCTTGGTCCAGGAGACCTCTAGACCCAAGGGTTTCGCTTCATTGCTAAATTCATCCAGAGCCACCACTAAGGTTTCCAAAGACTCAGATAGAATAGCAACATCATCAGCAAAGTCAAGGTCTGTCAACTTGATACTGCCCAGCGTTGCTCCACAATGACTTTGAATAGTAGCTCTGCCCAGTATCCAGTCCATGCAAGTGTTGAAAAGAGTTGGCACAAGGACACACCCTTGCTTCACTCCTAAACTAACAGGAAAGATGCTTGACAGGCCCCCATCACACTTTACAGCACTTTCAGTACCAGTATACAGGCTTGCTATTAATCCAATAATCCTTGTTGGAATGCCTCTCAGCCTCAGGATCTCCCAAAGTGCCTCCTGATACACCATATCGAACGCCTTCTTGAGGTTGATGTAGGCTGTGAGCAGCCCGCGGCCGAACTAAAAGCGGCGCTCTACAATGACTCGAAGTGCAAGGATACGGTCTATTGTGGACTTACCAGGAGTGAATCCGGATTGTTCTAGTCTCTGGTGTCTCTGATACGTCTCAGAAGGATGTGGGTGAGAACCTTGCCTGGTATACTGAGCAGTGTGATGCCTCGGTGATTGCCGCAGTCTCAAAGGTCCCCCTTCCCGTTCCAGAGAGGGATGACCACACCCCTCAACAGGTCAGGAAGAATGGTACCAGACCACCAGGACGGCATGTAACCCCTGCGTCATAGGTTCACCACCACCCGCGCTGGGGTACATTTTGTAGCCAAAATTAAAAAAATCCGGGAAGCTACAAAATCGGCGGGCGGAGCTTCCCCGGAGTCTGTCCGCCCG